AGCCATGATTGATTTGTGTCAGTGGAGAGCTAGAATAGGATCCTGGAACTGTTCCTGCCATTGGAGACAACCCAGTGCTTGTACTAGTACTGGTAAGACTTACTGTGGAACTGGTAGAGCGAGTGCTGGTGATACTGCACAAGAAAAGGGTCCCAGACTTTTTTTGTCTATTTTTTGTCTTCTTATCCTTCTCTTCATATCAGGAGATGTGGAACTCAATCCTGGACCCACTCTTACAGGTATTAGAACTGATCTGTGCAGCTTAGTGTTTCATTATTATACATCATAATAGATAAGCCAACAAAAGATGAATTGGTTGAGTTATTGAGTAGTTCAAAGTTTACTGCTGGTACTTGGGAACAGTTTGTCTGTTGTCTTCCTAGCATGACACAAGATATCATTAGTAATGTTAAGCAGAGAGAGGAATTAGTCGATGCTGAACCCATTGATAGCATGAGTGCTGTAGCTCAATGTTGCCTGGATAATAATTCTGAAATAACATGGAAAATAATTGTGATGTCACTGTTAGATGCAAAAGAATGCATCTTAACTAAGCAAATTTTGACAAAAATTGAATGTTCTTGTGTTGGAAAAAAAAGTCAGTTTTACATTATATTGATGCACATTTATCATTTATTTCTTAAATAGGAACAAAAGTTGATGCCACTGTAACAGTTGAGACTACATTGAGAAAGCATTTTGCCTCTTTATTTTATGCCACTGAAAATTGCTTGCAATCTGTTACTGTGGAATTTTTTTCTAAGGGTCTTATTAGCAGAGATGTTCAAAAGTCACCATCTTTTTATAAAATTGAAAATGAATTTGTAGCATCATCTTCTTGCGAAGAAAATATGACCAAATTAGAGGAGAAATGCCGTGATTTTGTACATTGCCTTGCCAAAGCAGGTGGTCCAGCTAAAGATGCAGCCATTGCACTAGCTGGAGACTGGGAACATGAAGTCATGAATAAACATAATCTGAAATGGTCTCTAAAAATTGACATTGAAACTTTGACTGGTTTATCTCTTCCTTCAGAAATTCCACTGAGCTCTGATGATGAAGTACCTCAAAAATTGCAGGACCTTCGCAATAAATTCTTTTTTTTGATGGATGATATCAGAACTTACTATAACAAATCTAAAAAGTATACTGTTAAAACTATTGGTCGTTTTTTAACGGAATGGTATGAAGCATCTCCTGCTGGAAAGTCTCTACCTAATTGCAAAAATTTTGATTATCTATTTGATTTAGTTAAGAATCATTACAGTTTTTTTAACTTTGATCTAATTCAAAATCTTGCAAGAAGATATCCCGTAAGCGATGAGTTGCAGTTGAAGCTTGACCAGTATGTGCAAGAATTAGAACAGTTTAAAAAATCAACTGCACTACGACAAATGAAGGATGCAATAAAGCAAGTACCCATACCTCATGAAGCCTCAAAAGCACATTGTAAAATTGTGATTAAATTGACTGGGGTCTGGGAAGAGAAAACAGTGGAAAGCCTTGAAAAGCTCATTGCGTTCCTTTTTAAACGTGATCGTGATGGTCGTGCTGAATTGATTAAAATTGTTGATGGATCAATCACTGTTACATTCTTGGCTCTTTCAACAGCACAGTCTCTTATTGACGAAGTACAAAATAAAATTCAGTTCATCCAGTATCTTGGTATATTTCAATTAATCATCAATGATGATATTGTCATAGAAAGAGAGGAAGATGTGAACTTCACTTTTGAAGATTCACTGTTACATGCCATCAATCACATTGACAGTCATTCAGAATAT